AAAATGGAACTAACCGAGTAATTACCACTCACGACATGAAAGTCTTTGAAAATACTCCCAAACTTTATTTATAGTAAAAGTAGACTGTCATCTTGATGCATAGAAGTAAAAGAGACAATAGAAAGACCTTAGAGACAACACATGCCCCAGGGGTGCCATTGTCACGTTTTTTGGCCATTGCTTTAACTGATTCTTGACAGCCCAATCTATCACATCTAGTTATGATCTTATACTAATGCTGCTATTCATAAATATCAGTATGCAAGCTAAGATCTAGTGGGGGCTCACAAGTGCAAGCTAATATCAGTATGCAAGCTAAGCTCACAAATGAACTTTGTCTTCTTAGTGTGCTTTCAAATATCATAAAACAAACAAAAGTGTAAAATCAATTTGAGAAAGGAATAATAAAAAAGGCAAAAAAAAGTGTCAATGACATCACCAATCAATTCAAATATGAAATATGAATTTTGAGCAATACACTTGAAGCATAAAGAGATAATTAACAAATAACTTGGCTCATCAAACTATGAAAATACATTACTAACTGAGCGTAGCTTTAATCCCAGTGAATATATCGCGGTGCCCAGCAAGTACTTACTATAAACACAGGATAATCATGTTTAAAAAATACTAGCATTAACTAATCCCAGTGGTTTATTGGCTACAACAAAGATGTAAAATATTAAAAAGATTCAAATATCATCCCACACTAATCAAAAGAAGAACAAGGATGTTCGAGTCTAGAAATGAATATCTTTTAGTTATAGAGAAAAGGTGCAAATAAGGCCACGTACTAACCAAAAAAGGTCAAATAAGGCCTTATTTAAGAGGTTCTGTCCGCCGTCGTCATTTGGGGTGGTTCCCGGTCGAATTTTTTGATGAAATTTTTTGAGCATCTTATTCAGTAAGTCTAGTTTACTCATACCAAATTTCAGCTAAAACTTCAATCGGAAAGGCATTCAAATGAATTCTTGAAGATAACTGCGCGTTAAAAGCACAGTTATCTTCAAACATTCATTTGAATACCTTCCGGATTGAATTGTTTAGCTGAAATTTGGTATGAGTAAACCAGACTTAATGAATAAGATGGTCAAAAAAATTCATCAAAAAATTCCACCGAGAACCACCCCAAATGGCGAAGGCCGGATGGAGCCTCATAAATAAGGCCTTATTTGACCTTTTTTGGTTAGTACGTGGCCTTATTTGCTCCTTTTCCCTTAGTTATATTATCACTACCAAAGTATGTTATGCTATGGAGTACACAAATTATAACATGTTTTCTTAAGAATATCTTTTTGTTTTCTAGGTAAGGCCACGTCTTATTTTTAATCCCAAGTACAGATTATTTGTTTCTTTTCCTTCTGTTTTTCCACTTTTTAATTTTAAAAATTCCTAAACCCACTACCCCAGCCAGGATACCTTAGCTAAAGATTCCATTATTATATGACTGCTTCAAAAGATTCTAATGACTTCATCAATACATCCATTCTCTAGGCAACTGAGCCTCGTGGCTGCTCATTTCCTTTGTCGGTAGGAGATGGGTATCTCCTGTTGTACGTCGCTCTCCCTGTGAAAGAATACAACCCTTCTTAAGAATATCATACAAAGGCATATATGCTAGAACCGTGACAGAGAATTTCAAAGGACCTGCTTACTTCTGAATGTTATTGACTACTAAAAGAGTAGATAGGAACTTATAGGAGGTGAAAAATCTAGGTGAAAAATCTAGGCATCCTCATGATGGAAACAACACTAACATGAGTCTCTATTTTTGCCTGCACATGAAGAGGTTCATTGATATGAGTTCTTTTTTCACTAGCAGCCCTTTTATATATGAACGAGCACGTTGTTTTCAAACTTACACCACTCAATGATATTTATTCTATCAAAACGCACAAGTAATGTTTCAATAGTTCCACATCTGACACAATACGATTAGAGAAAAACAATAAATATTTTCATATATGAAGTCACCTAATTAGGAAATGCTAAAAGGCATCAACATTAGGAAAATTGTCAAGCATCAACAAATCCAACAATCATCTACATATTATAACACAATCAATATATGCATCAACAATCATCTAAATATTTAAATTTTCGAATCTGTGAATCTGTGTTTGGTTTGTGAATTTGCGATTTGCTCAATCAGTTTTTTTCTTCTCGGTAGGTCAACTTTTGAACAATAATCGTTTGCTAGTGTGAATGTGTGATTACCTTAATCTTCATAACATGGACTCTGTTCAACTCTGTGAAATCATCCCTTGTCCACCCTAGGTACTCCATCAAGAAAGCTCTTGCTTAAATGCTAGAAGAAGATTAACTCTCTGATCTGCATCAAAAACACATGGATGTCTTTGCTCTCTATTCCTAGTTTGGAGACTATCAAATCGATCGCTTGGTGCTTAACGACGCAGAAACGAGGAATCCGAACACCGCTCCATCGGCCATGTCCTGTCCTGGCCAAGAAATACCTTTCCTGGAGAAGTGATTCGGAAGTCTCTCCATGCACTCACTGGCTCTCCTAGGAAGTCTCTCCATGCACTCACTCACTCTCATGCCTATCAGAATGAGAAAATCGAAGGAAGGCGGATCGACTAAACTAAGAAAATCGAAGGAAGGCGGATCTGGGAAAGGAAGAGGGGAGAGAAAACTACGAAGAAAACAGAGTCATATTGATTTGATCAGAGATCTAACCGATTGGCTATTTTTGAAATAAAAAACTAAAAGTGAAAGGATGAAAGTTAAATATGAAAAGTATATTATTAGAGGACATAAATGAAATGCATTGTGGAAAAGTGGACTTCTCGGGATATTTCCACTAATATCTATTTGTACAAGTACCTATTATATGTACCCATTTTACATCGTGTACACTTTGTTTTATAAAATACTCATTCTTAAAATTATTTAAGATATCTTTTTAACCGTGCATTGCACGGGTGGAGAACATTAGTAATACAAATCACAAAATATTTGCCATTAGAGGAAAATGAAATCTATTTTGGATTGAATGAGAAAGAAAGTCCACAGATAAAAATAAATGGGACAGAATAATAATATTGATCATGATGATGGGTGAAGCTTAAAATGATTGGTCAGACCCAAGAACCCAACACGTGTTATTCGCTGTTCCTAGTTTTGAATGCAGATACGAAAACTGTGTCACTATATACCCAAAAGTATTGATAAAGCAATAATGGGACATATAAATGAAGATCCAAACATGACCTCTATACGCTCAGAAGCCCTCACAAGTTAATCCTGATTATGAAGGCATGTGACAACTACAGGTGGGACGTACTTCTACTTTTCTAAAGTAAGTCTCAAGAGTCTAATCTAGTAATCTGTATCATGATCCATGAAGGCTAGAGCTGGTATTCAGAGGTGAGAGTGATGAACAACCTGGTGAAGTGTCTGGCTCATAGGGATATCGGACATTCATGCCTGGAGTGCCAGAGAATGTTCTCTGTCCCAGTTAATTGATCGGACAACTAGTCATTTTCCAGTCGGTTGATGCATGCTACAATATAATATCATATTGAATGATAAAAAAGTAAGCAAATAGAACAATGACGAATTTTGAAATCAAATAGAACAATGTGTTCTGCATTCATGCCCACGTAATCCCTCATAAAAGGGAGTTTTGTAATCCTCCCCGCAAAGACTCCAAGGAATATCTCCAGAGTTATTGATTATATTGTTAATGTATGGAGTCATAAACCACTTCTAGTTATACTAGTTTCAATAGTCTTGGTAGACTAGTTTTAGAGTAGCACTATTAGGAAACTACTCATACTAATATTAATAGGATACTAAAACTAACAAAATAAATAAACAAACAATAAAAATAACAAAAATAATAAAAACAATAATAATAGGAAGTCTTCTTCCACCACTTCTCCAATTTCCTTTGGGACCTTAGGAACAATGTCCAGCAGTGGAAAGGACCCCATAGTGTTTGGTGTGGACCCCTTTTACTACGTGAGGAGAGATATATGAATGATAGCATCGATGCAACCAGCGTGAGGAGAGATATATTTTCGTACGAATATTCAACATAAACGAAGAAATAGAATATTTTCTTGTTAAAAAGGTAAGTATAAACTAAAGATGTTAACCAAGTGTGGCAGTCCAGCTGGGGCATCTCAAGTCTCTTAAGTTACTTACTCACCCCGGTCTAACTCGTGTGAGGTTATACCATATGAGGAATTCGTTCTTGGTGTATTCTGATGGAGAGGGTGCTTCAAACCCAGGTTCGATTTCGAATACCGGTGGCAAGCTCCACAATGGTTGTGTTGTGGCGGGCTCCATTGGAGCAACGATATTGATACAGACCAAGCCCATATTAGGCCCATACCAAGGCCATGAGCCTAGATGTATAACTCACTCCCAAAAGATTAGCCAATAGATGGAGGGTACACCTATCAAGCCCATACTTGATCGGTGTGGAATCATTATAGATAGATGTACCCTCATTTAACAAAAGAACTAAAGATAGAAAGATGTAGTCCAGCTGGAATTTGACATACAAAAATATACAAAAACAAAAAGAGTAAGACTTCAGACTTGGCCAGAAAAGAAGAGATTAGAGATTGGACTTAACGGCAAAGAAAATCAGAACAGAGTGCAACTTCACTAGAGTAGAAAATGGCAAGAGTAGAAAACGGAAAGAGTAGACAACAGCGGAGCAAGGACTAGCATTAGCAACCAGTGGGGTGACCTGTGATGACTTGAAGGACTCTAAACATCGCATATTACCGAGTAGAGTCAGCAAACAAATATTCATCCAGCATCACCATAGCATCTCACGATGCTTGATTGTAACCGCAGGATGCCTAGGAGACTATGAGAGTCGCTTGTGCATGATATGTCTCCTTTCAACAAGACGTCCTGTCAGTTTCTAGGTGACACTGGGATAACTATGTTCGATATGTATAATACGTATATCATTAATACATATAGGATATGCATATACAGTATCATGAAAAGATATTGATGCATCATTGGGGTACACTGGTACAGGCTTGTTGTACAAATCATAGATATACACATATTGTTGGTTCAACCTATGCAGATTGGGCTGGTTTTCTTTGGAATAGAAGGCCTAATGTATTCAGATTTTGTATCCTTTGTTGGAAATCTTGTAGTTTGTAGTTGCACGATCAAGCGTGGAGGCAGAACATCAAGCAATGACACGTAGAACCTGTGATCTACTTTGGGTTAACCACTTCCTCACAAAAGTTATTGCAAGTTTGGTTATATGAAGTGAATTTGTCATAATCAAGAAGCCTTGCAAATGGCATCCTATCTCACGGACAAAAATATTTAAGTTGATTGTTACTTTATACGAGAAAGGGTCACATCCACCTCGCATTGGCCGACCCCCTATAGGAGGGTTTTAGTGTCTCCATTATTGCAGCTTCATTTTCTGTTTTGCTCAAGTCTGCTAACAACTTGTTAAGAACACATGAACATGATCTTGTCCTGGGACGTGTTTGAGAGAGAGTTGTCTGAATAAAATGAAACAATTTTTATTGTTAAATTCGTCAGTGTACAGCCTTGTCAAGACACAAAACTAATTATCCAAAACGTAATTTATTCCATAATGAAAACCCCCTCATGTAGACGCCACCAGAGTCCGTAAGGATAGGAAATAAGATCTGCAAAGCTAGTACAACTCAAAAACGAAAGACTAACTAAACTAGAATTAATGAATATAATAATGACAATAATAGGAAAAAATAACTGTCTCCGAGTCTAATCCCTTTAAGATATTTAATAGGACACAATCATTCTCTGCATGTCCAGACACTTCCGGTTCTTGGCTGCTCGGCTATTTGGCCTATTTGGTGTAGGCTATAAGTGGTCCCCAAAAGGAGTCCACAGCTTGATGCTGATGAGCTAACCCATTCTACCAGTGGCTGGATAGGGATACTAACTAAACTAGCAGGCCACAAGTGCCTGTACAGGGCTGCTCTTCTTCTGGTTTCTGGGCTGGACTATCGTTTGGGTCAATCAGCCTAACGCCAATCCAATAAATATAACTCTTTCATGTTGGGGTAAATAGTGCTTGGACCTATATCCCAACAATAACAATAAGGAATAAGGAAAATGATAACAGTGGTCCTTACTCCTTCGAGGGTATAGTTGAGAATCAATGAGACCTTAGTTTTTATGCCATTTCCAAGAAACAATCAACTTTTTACTACATAATACTTAATGGGCTAATTTGATAAACTGTTTGTTTTTGACACGCTAAAGTAAAAAGCGTTTACACTATGATTTAGTTAGCTGATGAATTAGTTGTTGTTGGAATGCTGATCGTCATCATCATCATTGCCCAGTGCCGCAAAGGCTCCCACCAACGGTGGGATAAGGGGTAGGGGTGGACTCGGGCCGGTTCGGGCCTGGGCCCGGCCGGACCTCGGTTCAGGAAAGGGGAGGCCCGTAACCGGCCCGGGTAACCCCCTGGTCCGGGCCGGGCCGGGCCGGGCCTCGGTTCAATTTTTTTTTTTTTTGCCTTTTCCTAATTAACCCCTACCCCCCCCCCCCCTCACCCCCAAACCATCCCAAACCATCTCAAATGACCCAAAATACCCAACCCAAAAACTTAAAAAAAAATCAAAAAAAAAAAAAGAAAAATAAATAAAATGGCCCGGACCGGGCCCGGACCGGCCGGGCCGGTTCACGTTTTGAGGGGCCCGAGCCCGGACCGGAACCCCAGCGGGTCGGGCCTACCCAAACCAGTCACTGACCGGGCCACCGGGCCGGGCCGGAACAGTGCCGGTTCGGGCCGGTTCCGAGTTGGGCCACCCGGCCCGAGTCTAGCCCTAGTAAGGGGGGGTCGGATGTACGCAGCCTTACCCCTGTACTGAAGCACAGAGAGACTGTTTCCGGATGACCCATAGTGAAAAACGCGGTCGAAAATAACATGGACTAACTGCCGCTTCATCATAAAACAGAAGCACAGACACTTTAATGAGACATTTTGCTTTATTCCATTATATTACCAAGCCAAAAAAAATAATGAGTCTTTGGCTCCATTGCAAATGATGGAAATGTTGTTGGAATGCTGATCTCATTTCATTTTCATTTTCATTTACCCCAGTGCCGCAAAGGCTCCCACCTACGGTGGGGTAAGGGGGGGTCGGATGTACGCAGTCTTACCTCTGTACTAAAGCACAGAGAGACTGTTTCCGGATGACCCATAGTGAAAATCGAGTCCAAAATTGCATGGACTGACTACTGCTTCATAACAAAGAAGCGCAGACAGTTTAGTGAGTCATTTTGCTTTATTCCATCATATTTTCAAGCCAAAAAGTAATGAATCTTTGGCTCCATTGCAAATGATGGAAAGTTGTTGGAATGCTGATATTAAAACATATTCCACCACTTAAATCCATATATAAATCTTAAATATGAATAACATGGTTGCAACAACAACAATAATAACAAAGTGTAGGTTTTAACAAGCAAACAGAGTTTCCCATGGAGGAAAGTGCAAGCACCTAGATATGATTCAGATTTATTGCACACCGGAACAAAAATTAGATGTATATGCAAAAAATATAGCAAAAAAGCACCTCAGCTCTTTTTATTAAGTGCATTTGTTGTCATCTCTTGGGGAAATATACATTATATCCATGCATCCACAGGTTTTACAGTAAATGTGACTTTTAAAAACACATAGACAATGGGTTTCAAGGACAGATCAATTATGCTAAGTGTCCAAGCACCATTTTAAAATAAAATCACAGCTAAGAGCATTAACCACAGCTTAAGGGCAACATGAATTCAATAATATGCATGAATATGTTTGCTTAAGGGTGAAATGTAAAGTACTAAAGTTCATATACAGAAGTCTGCTATGGGAAAGGCAGACTTCCAAATCAAGCATCAATGCATCATTGACATGCATATGTAAGTTTAGAAACCCCATAATTGTTAAATGGAGTAATTAATACTACGTGTAATACAAGCTTATGCCCATATTTTTAAAACTTGAAAGAGTAATTTGTTAGCAAATTATTCAATAATTAGAGTCAAAAGTAGTAAAGCATTAGTTTCCGAATTATATAAAATCATTGACATGTATATGTAAGTTTAGAAACCCTATGATTGTTAAATGAAGTAATTAATATAATACATGCTTATGGCCATGTGTTTGAAACTTGAAAGACTAATTTGTTAATAAATGATTCAATAACTAGAGTCAAAAGTAGTAAAGCATTAGTTCCCGAATTATACAAAATCATGTTAGCCAAAATACTTACCCAAGACATCATATGGCATCAAATAAAGAATTAATTCAACTTTTGGTCCTACGAGTTTTGTGTCAATTCCACATTTAGTCCACGTCTTTCACTTTGTCCACTTTTGGTACTTGACTAATGTTTTTTAACCGTTTGTGGTTCTTTTCCGGCGATTTTAACCATCGGAAACAATGCGGGAAGGACCATATATGGGCGAAAACACAATAGTCATGGATCAAAAGTGGACAAAGTGAAAGATGTGAACTAAATGTGGAATTGACCTAAAACTCGTAGGATCAAAAGTGGAATTTATTCTCAAATAAATGGACATGCAAAATACCACCAAAAGAATATATAATATGTACGACAGTGAACTTACAAATTCAACACTTCGAAAAGGGTCACAAGTTTGATTAAAATCATTAAACCAACATAAAAACAAATTGATCATGATATCTATCAATAATAACTTGCCGCGAGAAACCAGTAATTAAATATTTAGATGGATTTGAAGATGGTAAGAATGTAAGGGTTAATATTCACAATTGAATTAGGATAACCAAAAGAGTCGAAGGGTTCACATTCACGTGATTCGACAATATGAATTTCTATATTAAGGCCTTGATGCATGAATGACTCATTACCCAAAAATCGTATCAAACATGAATATTGCAACCGCAATGAGTGCAAAAAAGCTTCACTTTTTCCTTAATTAACTGTGTGGTTTGTACGCCGTGAAGATGCGGAGAACCAAAGATAGAAGGTTTCGTTACTTGTTTCAGACGTGCACTCAAGTTTTAAATAAGAAAATAAAGAACAGGTAGGGTGAGGGTGGGGAAGGCAAAATTCACAAAAGCTAAGAGAACGGAAAGATAAAATGTTTGGTAGGGCATATGAGAAATTGTGTGAAAAAGAGATGTCGATCGATTATTTCACAAAATGCATCATAAATATATTATTTGCCGTTGTAACCTCAAACTCCATTTGGAAAGAAATTCTAGCACTCCAGCTAGCAAAGTGATAACGTTACGGCATCATCCCTTGCATGTACACCGTGTGTCTTTCACATAGAACTTCATTTTCAATGAAACTCTCAATAAACGACAACCATCCACCGAAGCACAATTCATATTGTTATCTTCACCTTCACCGAAATCTCTTATATAAAGCAGCCACAACGCTAAACACAAATCGACCACCAAGTAAACTTACTCTCCAATCTCAATGCATTCATGCCCTGAGCTCTCTCTCTTTTATCTGTAATCCAAGTTATATCCTTGTTTCATTAATCACTTCAAGGTGTGATAATGAGAAATATAATCTTCAAAGAGCAAGGGAAAGACATTTACACCACTCCTTCACAGAGTCTTAAATATGTCTGGGATTGTGTACGAGTTCCTATTCTTGTGCCTCTTCTTAAATTGGCAATGTGTATATGCATATTGATGTCGGTGATGCTGTTTCTTGAAAGGGTGTATATGGCAATTGTAATTGCCTGCGTTAAATGCTTAGGGAAAAAAAGGTACACCAATTATAAGCTCGATGCCATGAAAGATGACCTTGAGCAGAACAAGAACTACCCAATCGTGTTGGTCCAAATTCCCATGTTCAATGAAAAGGAGGTAATAACCATTATTATTTTATACTAGTGCACTTCACTTACATAGAATATAAACCATGCTTATCTTTTTACTCTTTTATTCTTCACAAGGTTTACAAGCTTTCAATTGGAGCAGTATGTGGGCTTACATGGCCATCAGATAGGCTTATTGTGCAAGTTCTTGATGACTCTACTAACGAATCCCTAAGGGTATGTTTTTGTCTATTTTAGATGTTTTTTAGAGGAAGGGTCAATTCTTATTCCTTTAAATCATCATCATCATTACCCCAGTGCCGCAAAGGCTCCCACAGTCCCACCTACGGTGGGGTAAGGAGGTCGGATGTACACAGTCTTACCCCTGTACTAAAGCACAGAGACTGTTTCCGGGTGACCCATAGTGAAGATCGCGTCAAAAATTGCATGGACTGACGGCTGCTTTGTAACAAAGTAGCGCAGACAGTTTAGTGAACCATTTTGCTTTACTCCATCATATTCCCAAGCCCAAAAAATAGTGGGTCTTTGGCTCCATTGCAAATGATGGAAATTTTTTATTCCTTTCAATAACTGAACTATTTATAATTGTGGTAATAAATACTCCCTCCGTCCCGTTGGAATGTTCCCGCTTTCCCTTTTTGGATGTCCCAAAAAGAAGTTCCCATTTCCCTAAATGGAAAGTTATCCTACATCAAAACAGTGTCAAACAGTGCAAAACAGTGTCAAAACAGGGAAAAAAAAAATTACCCCCTGGTAAGTTTATTTCCTTAATATGTGTGTAGGTCAAACCGGGAACATTCCAACGGGACGAAGGGAGTATATGAATATGACATCAAACAATATGTTACCATTTTATTCTTTCATTTGAAAGAAAAAAATCTTGAAATGAAAAAAATTCATTCTCTATCCTCCCCTCCAATACCTAACTCCCAAATATAAGTAAAAAACTTGAGAGTATTCTCTGGACTAAATATTTCATTAACTTCGGTATCTATCAAGGTCTCATCAGTTTGTCTTTAAGATAACGCTTTAAGCACCAATATGCAGATATCAGTCGAAGAAGAATGTCAGAAGTGGATTCAGAGAGGGGTTAATGTTAAGTACGAGACAAGGAAGAATAGGAATGGTTACAAGGCTGGTGCTCTACGTGAAGGTCTAAAAAAGCATTATGTTGATGACTGTGAGTTTGTTGCAATCTTCGATGCTGACTTTCAGCCTGAAAATGACTTTCTTTGGAGGACAATCCCTTATCTCCTAGAAAACCCAGAATTGGCACTGGTGCAAGCGAGATGGAAATTCGGTAAGGACAAATCTACCAACAGAAGTTTTAAAACTATATCAATAGCAATGTCCGATATTGCATTGTTGGGGCAGTTAGAACTCATTGCGCAATGAAGAGTTAGCTTAAGATTATAATACAAATTTAAAAAATAAGGTATTGTCCATAATAGGAGTAAAATATGGACCAAGTTCACAAATATGAGAAATTATGTTTTATTCCAAAAATATGACTTGTTTAGTCCTAGTGAAAGAATAAAAGCAATTAAGGTTTCTTTTTTAGGAGTGGATGGGTCATGTTTTGAAGGGGGGGACAATGGTGGTACTGTTACAGGATACATATCATGTTTTAGTCCTATTTAGAGAATATCCTCAAAAAATTACAAATACTACTATAAATCTTATTAAATTATATACTAATTCTTTAAAATTCGATAAATTTCATGGTGATTAGTGAAAAGAAACAATAATGAGGACATGAACCCATACAATAAGTTCAAGCATCATATGATAGAAAATATTTCATACTCCATTAAAGTTTAACATTTACTAGACTGAGGAATGAAAAAATTGAGTCCTCAATATTTAGTGGTTTAGAAGGTTAAAAAGCAATCAAAGCCACTATATTTCTTTCTTTGATTTTTCCATAACCTTCTGTGTTTTGACATTGAAATTCAGAACATTAATTACATTAGTGTTTCAAGGAGCGTGCAAAAAGATGACGGAGAACTGGAGCAATAATTATAAGGCTAAAGGGTCAAATATGTACATGAACTAACTTAAAGTGCTCAATTAGACCCTTATATAGGAGGTTCTGCCCGGCCGTCGTCAATTGGGGCAGTTCCTGGTTGAATTTTTTGATGAAAATTTTTGAGCATCTTTTTCATTAAGTCTAGTTTACCCATACCAAATTTCAACTAAAAATTAAATCGGGAAGACACTCAAATGATTTTCCGAAATGTACTGAGTTGTTTAACTGCGGAGTTATTTTCAACAAATCATTTGACTGCCTTCCCGGTTGAATTTTTAGTTGAGGTTTGGTATGGGTAAACTAGACTTAATGAAGAAGATGCTCAAAAAAATTCATCAAAAAATTCCACCAGGAACCGCCCCAATTGGCGACGGCCGGGCAGAATCTCCTATATAAGGGGCTAATTGAACACTTTAAGTTAGTTCATGTACCTATTTGACCCTTTAGCCTAGTTATAATTATTCTATTAACAATAGATGCTTTAGAAGCCATTGTTGAACAGGATTAGTGACTTTAAGCAATTCATTAATATTAATTCATATAGCTAACCAGAAAATCTACAATTATTAACTACGAAAAAAAAAAAATAGGATAAATACACCTTGCGAATGAGAAGAGAGAGGAGTTCGCATCATGTTAATGTGCGTGATATACTAACATACACAAAATCTAACACATCATTAACGCGAATAAATACATAAATAAAAACTCACCTTGTAGTCTTAGTCTTGTGGATGAGAAGGGATAAGAGAGAATGAACAGTCATAGAAGAAAGGCGATCATCGCATAAGAGAAGTGAAGAGTCTGAGAAGTTGTAAAAAAGATTAGGGTTTTTGAGTGGGCCAATGCCCCAACACAATAAGTAAACCCTGAAAACACAATTGTGTGCCTCATGGCGTAGGCATGTGCTAAAAAGGGCATAAGCCTCTACTCTGGGGGTCGCCTTAATGCGTTTGGTCCAGAAATTGCTGAAGCGCACCGCAAGATGCAAAGGCATTGTACAATTACTAACACTGATCATGAGTCAGTGAGTCAAAGTTGATGAGCATTGAACAGTACAGTTGATAATCCAACTGTCAATAATTAACTTCGCCGTTTATCTATATATATACTTCAAGTAAAAATGCTATATGTGACCCACTATAGTCTAGTTTATATGTGATTGACCCTAGTGAAATGTCAACAGTTAATGCAGATGAATGTTTTATGACCCGGCTTCAGGAGATGTCACTAGACTACCACTTCACTGTTGAGCAAGAAGTGGGCTCCTCAACATGCTCATTTTTCGGGTTCAATGGTAAATAAAAAAGTCATGTATTGCTCGGAAAATTTTCATCCAAAAGAAATTACATTCGACAAATGCAAATAATCCTTTTAATATGAATGTTGTTCTAGGGACTGCTGGTGTTTGGAGAATACATGCATTAAATGATGCCGGGGGATGGAAAGATCGAACAACCGTGGAGGACATGGACCTTGCAGTCAGAGCTAGCCTTAGGGGGTGGAAATTTCTTTTTATTGGTGACTTAGAAGTGAGTCTCTAATGTGAATATTTCTCAAGTATTTAAAAATTTATTTGGTATATATAATACGCTTAACAGGTCAAGCACTATATATCATAAAAATATTTCAAGAAACTAAAAATAGTTCATTTAGGTGAAAAATGAACTTCCAAGCACCTTCAAGGCTTACAGATATCAGCAGCACCGTTGGTCTTGCGGTCCAGCTAATCTCTTCAGGAAGATGTTCAAAGAAATCATCCTTAGCGAGGTAATAATTAAATTCAGTAAATCATTTTTTCATATGTCGTATTAATTAGGAGGATTCAGAAAACTCACACATGACCTTTCCTGCACAATGCAGCGCGTATCTCTATACAAGAAATTCCACTTGGTCTATGCTTTCTTCTTCGTGAGGAAGATCATTGCACACTGGGTTACCTTTTTCTTCTACTGCATTGTCATGCCAGCCACTATCATCATTCCTGAAGTGCAGCTCACAAAGCCAGTAGCCATATATCTTCCTGCAACAATAACAATTCTAAATGCAATCTGCACAAGGAGGTAGCAATGCCATGAAAATGAATGTCCCTTAGTGCTGGTTTCAACTATATAATTTACCAAAAAAAAATGATAACTTTCTCTATGGTTGGAATAGGTCTCTCCACCTTCTTTTGCCGTGGATATTATTTGAGAATGTGATGTCTTTGCATCGGACTAAGGCTGCGATAATAGGGCTATTAGGGGCGAACCGAGTCAACGAATGGGTTGTAACAGAAAAACTGGGGAACACGGCTAAACAGAGGCAAAATGGAAGAGCACCAAAAAGGCCAAGATCCAGGTGTATAGACAGGTAACATGTTTGTCTGTTTTTTAACTCTATACTAGATAACTCCAACCTAGTAGCAAACCACTCTTTGAAATGATAATGAAAACTGTTATCTTCGCAAACAGGATGAACCCGCTCGAGCTTACAATGGGAATGTACATGCTGCATTGTGCTTACATTGACCTGTATTACGGGAAGGACCAGTTTTACATATATCTAATACTGCAAGCAGCAGCTTTCTTTACAGTTGGATTTAGTTTAGTTGGAACATCTCCCAACTAAACCTCTGCAGGAACATACATAGGTTAAGAAAAGCGAACATCTAAACTTCGGTGGTGAACATCTATAGGTGTGAAAGAAAAATAAGCGTGAAAGTGTGACATAGGAGTCACACCAGTAATGCAGGGTTTCCCATAGTCTGTTTTGGTTGTGCAATGCATCGTTGTCCAGTTTCTTTGTGTGTAAGTGTGATTGCGTGAACGTGTTTATGTTTTTCTTTCTTTTGATTAAATAAAGCTACTTTAGTGTGTATCACTTGTGGAGTAGTATATTTCAAATCTTTACACAGACAAATGAAACCACGCGAAACTATCATGAATCATTTGGCACTCCAAGTGTAGAGCTTGCGGGAATTATAAATCCGAGTTTCAGAGAATTTATGAAAGCGTTAACTCTTTTATCATTATTCAAAATCAATGAAATGGTAGAGTTAATGAAAACAAATACACACGCACCAGCCTCTACGTGGAAGAAGGACATTCCTGTTTATATATGCGATTCGAGGAAAGAAAGCAGATCATAGAGTGTTTGCAGTGGTCGCGGCCATGGAAGGTGTGAGATGAAATTGACATTTCGGGTTGGAACTTCGCGTTCGGGTTAACCAAATCAGACCTCGCTTTATTGAGTTTTTCTCCTTATTAATGCTGAAAAAATAATTATTTACTTAACTAGTGTTGGGTCAAAAATATTTACAAAAGTACTGCTCTTTTAAACCATGGTCAAGAGAATACGTTAAATGCTCTGGGAAGAGGAACGACTTCAAGTCTTCAACTAAGCAAATGCGCAGGAGAGATGGTTAAGTGGGCCCAATTTTTTTTAAAAATCTCCTTTTACTTTAAATTACTATTATTTTTATATTTTTGCTCCAATATTTATAAAAAATATATCAACTTTTATTATTTTTTATTATCTTTCATATGACACCAATATTGTATACATAAATTTAAAAAAAAGTAGAAGTTAATATGGAGTTAAAAGGCAAGTTGCAACAATGGGTATCAATAAATCAAATTCTAAACCAATACTCCCTCTCACAATAAACTTTTCGGTTTGACTTCACACAGATTAAGAAAATAAATTTGACTTTACTGTGCAGTGCACTGTTTTGCACTGTTCAAACACTGTTTGACACTGTTTGGACACTGTTTGACACTGATTGGCACTGTTTTGATGTAGATAATTTGCCAAATAAGGAAAGTTTTGAAATGTGAAGTTAATTTCGGGACTGCCCAAAAAGGAAAGTGTGAAGTTTATTGCGGGACGGAGGGGGTATTTTTTTACAAAAATATGAAGGTTGGTAGAGTTTTTCAGACTCAACATTTTATAAATAAATCCAAGTGATATAATAAAGATTTAACAATTACTTTTACAACTTTTAGATATTTTTCATCCGGAGCAACAAAAAAATTTATGAAATGTTATTTTTTTTTATGTTTACATCTTTGATATAATCTAGTTTAGAATCAGGTTTATTGACATAAAATGATTACAAATACCATATTAATGAAAAAAGATATGGAAGATGTAAATATTTGAAAAGTAAAATTTGATAATGATTTTTTGTTACTTCAAATGAAAGAAAATACCTTAAAGATGTAAACATATTAATGACATCTTAATTACATAATAATGACATCTTAATTTAACAGTTGGGTCTATTTAAAACAATATCTGAAACTAAAAAACGGGTGATATGTTTTTTAGGTTCAAATATTTTCTTAAATAGATCCACCTGTTAAATTAAGATCTCATAATTATGTTCACATCTTTCAAGTATTTTGTTTCATTTGAATAAACAAAAAACTAGTTATGAAATTTTACTTTTCAAATATTAACATCTTCCATTTCTTTTTTCATCTTTCAGGTATTTGTAATCATTTTATGTCAATAAACCTGATTCTAAACTACTCCGTAGTTTATATCAAAGACGTAAATATCTTAAAAAGAATAACATTTCATATTTTTTTTGTTTCTTCACATGAAAAACTTATCGGGAAAATGTAAAAAAAAAATTCAAATATAAATTTTAGCACTTTAATTTATTTATGAAAACTGTGGAGTCTGAAAAACTTTACTGATGGAACCTTCAAATTTTTGTAAAAAAATATTGGTCTAGAATTAGATTTGTTCATAGGTCATTACTGCAACTTCCCTTTTCATTCCATAAGAACTTCAGATTTTTTTTAAATTTAATGTATACATCATTGGTGTCATATGAAAGATCGTAAAAAGTTATGAAAATTAATATATTTTTTTATGAAATTTGGAGCAAAAAATAAAAATTATAGCAGTTTAAAGTAAAAAGAGTTTTTTTTTTACTTGAGAGTCTCACGCGTAGCAGCGGAATGGATCCTCCTAACTATAGTTTAGAATAGCAGTATCTTCGTAAATATTATTAATCCAACACTATTTTTGTAAATATTTCTTTTTTTATCCTTACTTAGGAAAAAAACTCCGCTTTATTACACGCTACTCAGTAATTATTCAATTCTCAAACTCAGGCTCAAGGAAAAGCCCACATTTGGCCTCACTTCTATTTCATGCTCTACCAAACTTAGGGAGTGTTTGCAATTGCTTCAACTTTAAAAAATGATTTTTAAAGTGATTTTGGGAAAAGTGATTAATAGTAAAAGTTGGTAGTGTTTGGGGAAAAAGCAGAGCCGTTTTTTAGGGGGTTCAATAGGCTATCCAGAACAGGGCCCCCAAATTTATGGGGCCCCAAATTTTTAAAAATTTATTAATATTATATAGTAATATTATATATTAATACTAATCATTAAAATATACGGAGTAGTTACCAAGTTAGGAAGAAAATATAGATCCATCATTTTTCTCGTTGTTCTTTTACTCTTTTAGTTCTCTTTTAATCAATATTCAATTGATTTGAGTATAAGTATTTAGATTGAGATTTTAAAAAAAAAAATTATATTAATATGGGGCCCCATTTTTACATTTTGAACCGGGGCCTCCAAATTGATTAGACGGCCCTGGGAAAAAGTGATTCTGGAAAAGTAAAAGTTGGTAGTGTTTGGTAAAATAAGTATTTTTTGTGTAATAGAAAAAGTGAGAAGCAGTTTAAAGCACCCTTCTACCTGCTTCCATCTTTTAGCTTTTAAGTGATTAATTTAAGCAGAAGCTGACATTTGAAAACACTCTTTTCAACTTTTTTTAAGTCAAAAGCTGAAAAGCGCTTTTTTAAGCAAACACAAACACTCCTTTAGGCTTTGTTTGCGAATTGAAAAGTGCTTCTCTTTAAATAAATGCACTTTTTGGTAAAAAGTAATTAGTAGTAAAAGTTGATAGTGTTTGGTAAAATAATTATTTTTTGTGTAATAGAAAAGGTAAAAAGTAGACTCTACACAAAAGCCGAGAAAGTAAAAGTTGGTAGTGTTTGGTAAAATAAGTGTTTTTTCTGTAAAAAAAACCACAAGCACTTCAATTAAGGGTATGCAAACAGAGTCTTAAATAGATCAAAACACCAAGAAAAAGAGATTTCTTTTTTAAATAGAAGTAAATACTACCTCCATACCATTAGAAGGTTCACATCCACTATTCACATGGTCAACTTAAATCATTTTTAATCTTTTACTTTATTTACCAAATTTTTATCAAATTCACATTTTTAACTTGACTTTGTAGCGGATTTAATGTAGTTTCTGAATATGTAATTTTTATTTACTAAAAATAATCAGAGTGTGAGCAGGGATTAAGTTTCTTTATTGTCAGTCAAGCATCGTAAACCGCCAACGGGAAACTTCTAGCGGGGCGGAGGGAGTATAAGATTATCAAGTTTTCATTGGACTGAAATTTTTTAGTCTGATTTGATCTGTTCAAGCCTAATCTAGTTTAAACTTGTCACGCTCGGGCCCGCTAGTAACGTCGAAAATTGTAGTATAATCCATTAAGGGCAATCATAGTTCACCTTTATCAAATTATCCAAGGTGTCATGCATATAATACAGACCATGTATCTTATAAGTCATAACAACAAAATAAAAGTATCTTATTTAATACATAATGGAGAATATTAGATAAAAACGTAATCAGTCACACAAGGCAAAACACAATTACACAGGACCTATACAGAAGAAATTTATACTACCTCTGTCCCCCTATTATTGCCACATTGCGGTTTACGATGTTTGACCGACGAAAAAACAGATGGATCCATGTTCGCGCTCAAATTATTTTTAGACAAAAACATTACATATTCAGAAACTACATTAAAAGGAGACCCATGACCAAGACAAAGGGAGTGAGTTCAAAAGAAAAAAGCAAGGCTGGAGCAAAGGCAAGTCAGGGGCACCTGATGGACCGTCATCCAGTCAGTCAGAATTTTTTCCGTTGACACATCCACTGAGCACAGTCCTGGATTACGTAGCGAAGTAAGGCATGGTGGCATTACCCGATAATTGCGACGTCATCAATGGCCAGGCTACCCGTGGGAAATACTGCAAATTGCATAAGAGCGACACTTACGAAACGGATGAGTGTTTTGTTTTGAAAAAATACGTAGAAAGGCTCATTCGGGTAATGCACCAAGCCTTACTTTGCTACGTAATCCAGGAGCAACACTTACGAAATCGATGAGTGTTTTGTTTTGAAAAAATACGTAGAAAGGCTCATTCGGGATGGGCAGCTAGGCTACGTCATGAAAAAGAACCGACAGGGGCCACCCCCTCATAAGAAGAGTGTCTAGATTAAAGAAAAAGACGAGCATGTCTCAACCACTAAAAAGAGAGGTTGAAGCCCAGTTCGAGGACAATTATGAAGGGGAGGAGTCCGGTCGACACAAACGCCCACGCGTAAACCAAATCTATGGCGGACTGGTGGGAGGAGACACCGCTGGGGACAAGAAAAGGTGGATTCATCAGCTGTTTATTAGAGATATCAACCGTTTCCCGGCAGGTAAGAAGCAGAAGCGGGGCTCCATTATGTTTACAGACGATGATCTGTGATATTCCTGTAATTTCCAATTGTATGTTTGCATTTTTAATTAGTTTTGTTGTTCGTTAGTTTGGAAATTACACACTTTTGGTGTAATGCTTTAGTTTGTTAAAATATTTGTAATTTGTATAGATTAGGATTATTCTGAGCGTAGGATAGGTCAAAATCATTCAAAGGATCGGGAATGGATCCCAAAGACCAAAGGATGTGCAAAGGAACAAGATCAAACAAGGATTTGAAAAAATGTTCATATAGTGCGAGTGTTGTATTTATTTTGAGGCACACAACGACTATAGTGTCGCCA